GGGAGCTCCTGGTGTAGGTGTGTTGGCCTTAAGGTGGAGCTTGCCCGGGGCTTGTGATGCAGGTGGAGCATTATGAGTTGTTATACTTGGAGACGAGTATGTGATGGGTCTTGGTTGAAGACTTATCGGGATGTATGGCTTATGCATGAGTCCTGCATCGGGTTTGGCTTGAGATGTTTTTTCACTATGTCTTGATGGGGTTGTTTGCTGACTACGAGTTCTCGTCAAGGTGGAGATTGTTGATAAGTATATTAGGTGACTCGTACTTCGTAGCTTTGTCCGCCCGATCGGGCGGACATTGCCCGGTCTGACCGGGCGGAAGAAGAAGAGGTGCCTGGCAAATTCGTTGAAGAAGCTGCTCTCGCGCCCGACCGGGCGAGCCTTCGCCCGATCGGGCAGACCTTGCCCGGTCTGACCGGGCGGTGGGGGTTGGATACGTTGAAGCATTCGTATGGAGTTTTCTTCTCGCGCCCGATCGGGCAGACCTTGCCCGGTCTGACCGGGCGGAGAAGGAAAAATGCGGAGACGCGGATTTTACGATTTAAAGTTATCTTTTATGTTATCTTTTTTGCCCAAGTATCTTTTATTTTAGGGATTAATATAAAACCTCCCTAATATTAGTATAAGGGTGAAGAGAGAGAGAGTGAGAGCCGTTCTTGAGAAATACAAGAATCATCTTTGTAATCTTTGCAGTTTATAGTGAAATCATTCGATCTCGGTGCCCGTGGACGTAGCTATCACATCGATAGTGAACCACGTAAATTCTTGGTGTTGTTCTTATTGTTTGCATTGAATTTCTTTATTGTTTTCTTGTTTGTTTTCGACCTTTGCTTCCGCTGTCGCACAACAGATGTTGTATTCCCTTCGTTTCGCATTAGTAGCAACAGTAGGTTTGACTCATAGTTTAAGAAAATTATAGATTAGGTTTATAGGCGTATAATATAAAGTATTATTAGTAAGAAATAGAAATACTAAAAAATGTAATGTGAGTGAGTTTGGTAGAAAAGAGAAATAATAAAATATTTGTGAAAATGAGGTTAGTGGAAGAGAGAAATTATAAAATAATGGTGGGTCCTTTCCAAATATAGTAGTGTTGCAATTAATATGAAACGACCGAAAATAAAAAGTGTTGCAACTAATGCGAAACGGAAGGAAATATGTTGAATTTCTGTTGGAAAATCTATTGCAACTATTTAACTCACTATTTCAGTTAAGTAGTATAAATGATTTTCCGAAAAAAAAAAAAAAAAAAAGACGTTGTATATATGATTAACTTCGCTATAGTCTACGACTCGTACACTGCAGTCAGATCAGATTATAAGTTGTTATGAAGATTCCAAAGTACAGTAGTTTATTATTAAAAAACAATAATATGGTGATTCTAGTAAATGGATTATCAATTTTATAATTCTAAGAGTTCTCTTTTGACCATTGCATTGGGCTAGTTCAGACCTTCCAGTGTTTCACTATTCACACACCACACTCTTTTGATCCTCTTTTGTTGTTTGTATGTTATGAAAAATATAATTACGTAGGATTTTGTTAGATTAAAATAATATTTACATAGTTCATTCATCCTTTTATAATTGTAATAAATTGTAATTAAAGATATTCATAGTAAAAAATAAAAAAATAAAACAAATGAGCATTAACAAACGCAACGTAAAATACCTAACGTTGCCATTGAAAACAAACAGAAGAAATACCTAGAACTAAATAGAAGTTGACGTTTTATAAATGGTTTTTGCCTATTAACCTCTTTTTTATATGGCCATTTCTTTACCTATTTGAGTAATCCGTATCACCTGTCTTTTACTCATCTAAATGTAAAACTTATCTTAATTTTACGTATTTAAACACTTTTTTTTTTTACAAAAACATTTGAATAAACATTGTTTTATTAAAATCCAAAACTCCAATTTACAATGAGGTAACTATTTGAACAAGTGAAAATATTAAAATCCTGAAATCTGAACATGTATGGTAGGTAACTGAAATTCAAATTTAAAAATGCAAAATGTCACAAGACAATCACAAATAATTCACATGAGAGGGGTGAAGATACAGAAGCAAACAGGATATACTATTATGATAAATAACACATCAGTACTACTACGAGTAGTGATTTAGGATGCAATAAATATGGGCCATCATGTTTATTTATTTAATTTGCAGCAAGCAAGCAGCCAAATCAATATTCCACATACTTTAATGTATTTCAGCATAACCAATTACTGCTTACTCCGTATACACGTAATTTGGTACATGTTCATGTATTGTATTCATCAAGGTTCCACCGATGATTTTTTTTTTTTTTACACGGTAAGCTATCGGGGGGGTGTCCTTCCTATCACAGGAGGGGTGGAGTGAGGATCGAACCCAGATCAAATTTGGGGGAGATGGAGGGACAAACCGTTCCACTGATGATATACGGACTATGATTATATACTCCCTTCATTTTTCTAAATTAGTTACATCAAGGCTCAACCGATGAGGGCTAAGGCTCTGTTCAAACTCATCACATTATTCTTATTACATACTACCTGCTTTTTTGTTCAAATCAAAACAAACCAAACTAGAAAATTTTAGTGGGTAGAATAAAAGGATTTAATAGAGTATAAAGTATATTCCTGCGCTTCAATCATCATCAGCTTAAGATTTTGGTTGAGTTACTACTCTAACATGGTATTATATCAAGGCCAGCGAGACACCAAGGTCACACGTTCAAATACTCTTCATTTAATATTTAGCGCTGGGTATGAGGAGGGTCCATGTTGCATCTACACTTCAAACCCAATGAGCTCTCGTGTAAGGGGACGTATAAAATATAAAACATATTTTTAAAATTCAACCATCATGTTAAGCTTTTAGTTGAAATACTCGTCTAACAAGAGTATATAGGACTCCTATACAGGAGTACGAGTATATAAGAAACGATTACGGAGTATTTTGAAATGGATATAGTGAGTAGAATTTTATTTAAAAAATGAGAAAAAAAAATTAATGAAATTATTACTCATATTATAAGTGTTCAACTACCCCTCTGGCAGAGTCATAATTGTCGAGCCTAAAATGACACCAGAAGATAAATATGAGTGGAGAGATTTCTGTGCAGGATTTGCACCCAAATTTTAATGCTAAAGGACAAATATTGCAAACGACGTGCCTTAACCAATAATAATATTAATACTATAATAAAATTAAATCACCATTTTTATTTTGAATTATTTTGGGACCAAATTATAACCTTGGGATAAGTTTTTTGATAAGATAAGGTCTTATGGTAGAGAAAGGTGGGCGTTTTTTTCCTTCTATCTTACTGAATATAGGAATAAAGTGAACTTAGGACAATTTATTTTATGTTAGTGCTTCTTAAATCAAAATAAAAATAAATTAAATTAAAGTACATGTAACATGTTAAAAAAAAGTGGTTTTGGGTTCGAATTTAGAGGCAACTAAGATTATGTACTTTTTATCTTCTTTTTAAGCTTAAATATCACCTAATCAATCATTGAGGAACTTTGTTCTAATTATCTTATCCTAAATCAACGTCAAAGATGAAAAAAAGTGTAATTTTTTTATCCTATTATTTTAGTCAATGATTTCATGTAGCTTTAGGGTTCCGCATACATTATAATTTCATCATATAGTGGTATATTACAAGTATTTTCAAAGAACTTGGCTTGAAATTGCTTTATTATTAAGCATATGTATTTATGTTGTAATGGTCCAGCACTATGTTAGCATATTTGAAGACGAATATAAAGAAAATTAATCGATAACAATTAATCTCCATAGTTATTATGGGTAGTTGATAATTTTAATACTAACGTTATAGAAGTACTCAAATTATTAATCTCAAGTTCAAAAGGTATTAATTAAACACAACAGTATCATGCTTTATCCCATGTACACATTATAAAAACAGTAAGTACAAAAGATAGGTAAATTTATTGAAGAGAGGACTTTCATGTGATATGTTTATAATAATTCTATTTTTAATTAATTACAAAAAATGCTTTTGCATTGTTGCAGTATTTGATTATTTAAATCTTTTTTATTTTACATGCCAACTAGCAAAATTATATTCATCCATGTTTCAAAATAATTTTCACATTGTAATAGCCTTGTATTTTATCCTGCTCCACTTTATTTAGATAGAAACATATTTGGAAATTAGCCACAATCTATTTCTATTCATCATTTAAATAGAAATATGTTTGAAAATATAACTACAATTTATTTCCATTTTAGTACATGCAATCACCATTTCAAACATGTCAAAATTACTAAGTTGGTGTTCGTTTCGGATGGGGGAAGTAAAACAAACACATCTATGAGTAATTTTTTTTTTTAAACTCCATATTTGAATTTCAAAAGGTTGTTAGTTTTGAATTTTGAAATCAAATACTACTATCTCTACCTAAAAAGAAAAGTTTCAACCTTTACATTAATTAATACTCAGTAATTACATTCCTCAAATAACAACTCCGTATCATATTTTTTTAATTATACTTATTTAATTATATTTGGACATTTTACGAATTGCAGTCTTATACAAGTAGAGTAGATTATAATTATACACTTAATTTTTTATTTTTATTTTTTCTCTCTTTTGACGTATCAAAAATTATGATGCAAAATTGTGCATACAGTTGTATTTTACCAAATTACAGTTCACACCTAGCTACAAAGAAAGACAAATCTACATAATGTCACTCATAATTTAGTTGAGACATGATTCCTTAGATGACATGACGGTCCAAAAATGACACCAAAAAAAATGTACTGTACAATTTATATGAAACTTAATTTATTCGCATAGATAAAGAGTATTATAAGCATAATAACTAGTACGAGTATTATCGTAATAAGCTCAATATTATAAACGAGATTTAATCCTGCACTAAATACGCAATATGAAGTACGTATTAAGTAAACTCACTTTTAAACACAATGTTGCAGACGAGACTTGATCCAGCAATTAAGTACACAGTATGTAACAACTAAACTCATAGGCATTATTCATATCGAAGTTAAACCCATGTTTTCATCATCACGTAACCACGTCGAATCAATAACAATAATGACTACATTCAAAAATCTTCAACTCATGAGTCATACGATTCAAATATTAAAACATTAAAAAAAAAAAAAAAAAAAAACAAGATCTTTTTACATTATTCATCAGAGTTTCAACCTCTCTATCATCATATCTCTAAACATGGAACCAAAAACTTTGGTTAGTATTAACTTTAATGATAATTAATTAACTAACAAATAGTAGTGCATAACTAAAACAACATTAGTCAAAAATAATAATGAGCAAATTAAAATTAGCTGAGAAATTAATTAAAAATTAATCATTGCGCTTTCGCTTCTTGACCACCACAATTAGCAAAATTAAACTCAAGAGACGAACCAAGAACTCCCCCACAATTCAATCCCACATTACTATTATTATTAGTATTATTGTTGTTGTTACTACTAATATTAGCATTTCCATGATTCCCATTACTACTAGAAGTGACAGTAGTTTCAGCAATGGTTATACCAGATTTGTCTCTCCGCTGCGGCGAGGCCGAAGATGAAGAAGGTAAAGCTAAAGCCGAAGCCGAAACAATACCAGCAGCACCACCAACACCAGCAGTAGCACCCGAAGCGGAGCCGGAATGTTTGTTGTTATGCATCCAAACTTTAAAAACACTTCTATCAACACCCACTTCTTTACAAAACTCTTGTACTAATCTTTCTTCCCCTTTTTTCAATCTCCACCCTATTTTCTCCGAGAATTCATACATTTTCTCCTTTTGCTCTTGGCTGAATTTTGTCCGAAACCGCTTCTTGCTCTGGAAATTACCATTCTGCCCTCCACCACCGCTACCGCCATTGTCAGAGTAAAATCCTGTCACAACCCCTACTCCAGCGGATGCGGTTGAATTATGCACCATTTCGTGATCCGAAGGGCTGTGAGTGTGGCCGCTTAAGGAGAGGAGAAGCTGAGACGCAGAGGGAGGCGAGTGAGGCCTACGCACCGCCGAAGAAGGCGGGATGAGGTGGTGGAGGGGTGTTGGGTCGTCAGGGTCACGGCGGTGGAAGTTGCGATGACAGCCACACGCTGCGCAAGTGAGTGAAGTGGGGTCCACAGCGTTAGCGGTGGGTCCCGGCATGAACTCGCAGCACCCGTCTAGGGCGTGACCTCCTATGCTCGCCGCGTGGTTCTTCAAGCACTCCTTGTATGACACGTGCTGTTGTTGTTGCTGTTGCACGTTTTCGTTGTTGTTGTTGTTGATGTTGTCGTGGTGGATGTTGTAGCTATGGTGGTGGTGGTGGTGGGCCCTCTTAGCAGGCGGAGGGTGCGGAGGAGTATCGGTGTCGGAGTCGGAGGTGCGAGGAGTCACGGTGGTTGTTGCGGAGGTGGGCCCACTTATGAAGTCCATAGCCATTGAGAGAATGGGTCGGGTTTTGGTCGGGTTTGGAATGGGTTTGGGTCAAGGGAGCAAAGGAAGAAATGGTGGGAGAAAAAGGAAGAGGTTTTGGGTAATGTAGTGAGATTTAGAAGAAGAAGGTTTATGGGGGGAAAATAAGGGGGTGTTTGGTGGGGCTAGTTGTTGTTGAGAAGGTAATAAATATGTCTCAGAGTCTACTACTTAAAATAGGAGGGTGTTTTTAAATTTTTAAAAATTAATTATTAGTTTTTTTAAAAGGAGAGAAATGTGTACACGTGGCACATTGGGAGTATGGGAGGCCACATGAACCCCACTACGAGGCATAATTTGATTCGTAAGATATGGTTAATCTCCCTTCCTTCTTCTTCTTTAAGATTAGGCTAACCTTATTTTGCTAATAACTTGACCACTAATATAACCTTTTGCCCACTAATTCTTTGTTTATGGTTGGTAATCATTGATGACAAGTACTCTTGTGATCTACTATTAGTTGGGACTTAGGATTATTGTTTCGATGTTTCTTCGATCTTGTTGAGGTTTTGATTTGATTTTGAGTGACTTGTTTAAATTATATTGTAAAGTACAATGACTTCTTGTAATTAAACTTTAAATAATAGATCAAGTTGGATTCCTTTTCATGTTGAATGAAGATTCGTTCAATTCCATTAAGCTAAATTGTTGAAGTAGGACGCTGTTACTAAATATATCAACCAAACATAAAATGGTAATGAGCTATACAATCGCCTTTTTGATGTATTGAAAGAAAGATTAGAGGGAGAAGAAGGAATAATTTGAAAAAAGCTTTTTGGATAAGAATGTAAAATTATATTAGTTAGTTAAGAAAGCTTAATGTAGGTTACTACATGAAACTATATACGACCATACCACAAGGGTATTATGTAAATTTTAGGGGAATCTATAAGTCTACATATCAAACATAAATTTTGAAACTAGAAGTCTTCATATGGAATAGCTAGCTGGGCAAAAAGAGGATAAGAACCACTAGTTGATATCCTTTCAATGCATAATTATTAGTTCATTAATAACTAGTATTTAAGTCGGATAATGTCTCGAGTTAGCATGAACAACATCTTATTATATTTTAATACATGAAATAATGACATATATAATCCTTTTAACAAATGTTATTGATAATATTTTTTTAAATGAAACACATAATGTGATATAGCTCATTAAATAAGTTTCTACTGTTGAAATTTGAGGTTGCAAATTAAAATCTAAATAAATTATAATTTTGATCTTTAAAATGTAAGTAAATGACATAAAATGATGAAGAGCACCACATGAAAAGGTATTGTAGAGTAAGTTTTTTTAATTTTACAAGTAGATAATCTTAACATTCATGTATTTTTCCTTCTCAAAATTAAAAATAACAACTATTAAGTTGCTAATCTTAACATTGGTGTATTTTTTCATCTCAAAATTAGAAGTACTAGCAACTATCAAGTTGCTAAACAATAAAGAATTCCTTAATTAGAAAAGAAGCAAGTCCTTGCTTTGTTTAAAATAGATGTCGGGCTTGTTAGATGAAAGGGGATCACATAATATTTGAAGTCATCTAAAGTATTGGGTTGGAAATTGGGATCATATTTATTATTATTTTTATTCTATTACTCTTTGTATGTTATCAATTGAATTACTTAACATCAATCATTTAGTTATTGGTAAGTGTGGATGATGTGACTTATATAAAATGGCTAAGTCACATAAAATGAAAATAGAGGATCTTATCCACAAGCCATTGGAAATTGAGGTCAATTATGATTAATTGATCAAACATTAATTTATGATTTAGTTATGCTTTTAATTGCATACGGATTATTATATCCATCCAAATTTTAGCAATATTGAGAAATTTGTAATGAATTATTCTCGTTTTTAGTTGTACTGAATTTCAAAACTTAAATTGTCTTTGGCATTGTTAGTTTCAATAATCATAGTGTCGTGTATACCAATTATAAGTGACAAAGACTTGAGCTTCGCCCTTGTGATAAATAAATATTACCCCATACTCCCATAAGGAGTAGCATACAATTCAAAGTATTCAATGTCCCTTTAATACTAGAGTATGTACTTGGGTATAACTTGTAAAGAGTAATTAAGCAATGTAAATAAGGGTATAAATGGCCCGCGATTTCTTCATAATTTTTTTTTTACTCTTATGTTAACAATTTCTCCGTTAGTGCACTTGGGTGTATAACGCTCATTATGCATTCAATGAACGTAAAGGCTAAATTTAAAGAACATAAATGTTTAAATAAATGAATATAAATCTTACAAGAAAATAAAAGTTAAGATGAATGAGCAATTGAGCATGAACCCCAAAAGCAACCAACAATCATGTAGTTTAAATGTAAAAGAAGTAGAACATGCATAAACTTCACGTCCAAACTCAAAAAGCATGTACTTCAAAATCAAGACACATATTCAAAGTTTAAAAGAACATGTGCTATATTGAAGAAAAAAATTATAAATTAAACAAACATATAATTATAGTTCAAAACTAATTACATATATATAGTTCAAAATCAAAGAACATGTTTGTTGTTATTTTGACCGGGTGCATCATGAGCACTATGCATCCTAGTGCACCAAAAAAAAAAAATTGCCCTAGCCTCTACAATGGAAATAGGATACAAACATTTGACAATGTATAAAAAAAGGGTAAAATTCAAAGGGTTTTATTAGCGTTACGTGCTCCAAAGGTAAACTCACTTTAAAACTTGTAGTAATTTATCTACTTATTTCAATTGTAAATTGAGTGTGGATAGCCCTTATATAGTATTCCTTATTTATTATCCGTAGAGCTTAATTTTTTATTTTTTATTTTTTTAATTTACTTATAAATTTATACGAACTTATATAACAATTCTTATTTGAACTTAAGTTTTCCGAAATAAGTGAATATTTGATGAACAAAACATGGTCTAATTGACGAAAAATGAGATAAGGCTTATATATACTCTGTGGTTGACTAAGATATTTGGTGATACATTTTTAATTATAAGATTATATGAACGATAAATTTTAAAAAAATCTTCCTAGCTAAATTCCATATGGTACAAAGAACCCTTTATTTTTTATTTTATTTTTTTAAACCTTCTTTAAGTAATAAAATTAGTGGTCCTATATTCCAATAGAATAATAAACTTTAATAAGGGTAAGATAATTGTAATCTTTTGAACGAAGTTGTTATCTAGTACTCACCAAAGGCTGAATTCTTACAAAGCACCTTCAACTAAGTCGATCCCCACTCTTATTATTTTTGTGGACATGAAAGAATTATGTAACACCAACAAGATCTTACCACCGCAATATATCTTAGTTGGATATTATTGCCTACGGCTGATCAGAATCTAATCAGAATAAAGCAGTTGATCATGATTCTTAAGGTGAACGTCTTTCATTTTGTCATTATCGATCGATAATTTTCGTATTTTTGAATTTGTTTAAATTAAATAATTAAATAGAAATAGCTGAAAATTCTAATGTAGTTTTATGACTTTTGACTACCATAATTTGTTAAAAAAAGGACGGCTGAGATTGTTTGTTTTTTATTTATCTTTAATTAGTAATTTTAATTAAAAATTATTTTATATATTTTTTTATTTCTAGAATTCCAAAAGTATTAAAAAATAATAATTTCTAAAAGATCAAAATATATTTAAAATTATTGAAAAATTATTTTTAACTAAAATTACTAATTAAAAATAAATAAATAAAACAAATAATCTTAACCGTCCATTTTAAAAAATTATGGTAGTCAAAAGTCATAAGACTATATTTAAATCATCTAGAAATAGCACGCATGTTTGAATTGTTAAAAGTTGTTGCAGTAAGGCCTGGTCAAGGATCATGGATTAGGATTATCGTTTTAGCAATAGGAGGGATGTAATACATCAGTGATGGGTTTAGAAAATATATTTAATGTGGTCAATATGCTACTATAAATTTGAATTTTATTAACGGGATATATGGGTAGGTTTAATACGAAAATTTTCCAAAAATCTAATAAAAATTTACTGAATATAAAAATATATATATATATATATATATAATAAAAAGTCTAAAATCAAGTGGGTTAGTTTAATTCATGAACTGCTACTCTTATGTAACTACGTTAATAGTTACGATATATATTGCCTCTCACTCGATAGGTAAAGTGATTACCATTGAATCTATGAACCTAATTTTCTTGAGAATTTTTCTCAACGCATAATGTATTTTCTTGGCGGAGATAGAATTATTATCTAATCAGATTATTGACCTATTTTTTTACTTCACAAAAAATTATAAAATAGAAAATAAAAAAGGATGCGTAGGGTGTTATGGTTGTGTGCATTTATTGCAAAATTAATTTATGCGTTGAAATGAAACTTGTAAAAATGAAAGTTGAAGAAGTACGTATCCAACAGTATAACACTATTTACAGCAATCAGACACTCCGCGTGAAAAAGAAAAACTGTAATAAGAGGTAAAGTTATGTTAACATCAACAGCAATCAACTTTGTAGCCGATCGATCGACTCATCAACTTCATACAATTATTACCATATATTGCTGCTCCCATGTAACGTTAGTTTCATTTTTGTTGTAACTCTTGTGGGTGACAACATATTGGGTACTCATTTAAGTCTTGTCACTATTTACATTCGCGATAATATAATCTAAATTACATTGGATGAGAAGAGAGAGGTGACGGTGGTGTGCTGGTGTTGAAGGAGGGTAAGGAGTGAATTAGGGTGGAGATAGTGGGGCTGGAAGGGGTAGCCAAAGCCACCCCTAAAGTGGAGATAGTACGATGCATTATTAATTACTCCGTAATTTTGATGGTTGTTTTGTTTTTAAAGTGATTGTTTTCATTATTATCAAACTGATCATGCGAGTTTATAGATTGTATTTCATGCTTTACAAAGATAGTGAAGATATATACGTTTTCAAAACATTGGAAAAAGAAAAATCTTCTAATACATTTTGTATTTTAATGCAAATTTTGTCATTAACAACCTTATATAAACAATGTTTTTTAAACAACTACCTTTTATAGATTATTTCACTAATAAAGGGGTGTCAATTAGAATAGTCTTTGTTGGCACCAAACTAAGTACCAATACAATAACTTATAAGTAACCAAGCAAAACTTAGTCTAGTGGTAAGGTTTGTCATTTCACAATCAAAAGGTTGTGGGATTAAACCCCATTAGAGGCAATTTAGGGTGGGGATCCTCTTACCCTTCCCCCACTCCCAAATTGTCCAGCCCCCTAACCCGGTTCGGATTGGACCTGTGACTCTGTGAGAGGTTCCGACCCAATAAAGACCTTCTTCTTACCGTTAAAAAAAAATACAATACCTAAGTACCAAAAGTGGATGAACTTCATCATTAATTATTAGAAACTCCGTAGTGAAATACGCTCCTTCACAATGCAATACAACCACACTAATATTTTTTGCTCATTTAAAAACATGTAACTATATTAAAAGTGAGAAGATTGAATACAAACCTTGTTTTTTTTTTTTTTTTTTAATTATTATTTTTAAAATCTATTTTCTTGATGATAAACCTTGAATTTTTTTTTTGACAAACCTTGAAATTGTGGAAGCTAAGATGTCGGTACAAAAAGGTCAAAAAAAATTAAAAACGACATCTACCTGTATTAAATTAAGTAATGGGTGATTTGGTATGTTTAATCCTTTTTTAATCCAGAAGTTGGTTGCTTAGAGATCTTAACTTTGATTCCTCGGTTGTGGTAGAGTGAAGAATGTCACACCCAAAAAAGAAAGCGTAGAATCTCAATCCGATTTTGGACCACCAATTTCCCATGTTAATCCCATATATAGTTTTTTGACATTATCAAAGTTTTGATTAGTATATATCTATAATGATAGATTTCTAGGGCCATGTTAAAATTAATATAATACCCTTCAATTCTTCATATATGTCTTATATCAAAATGAGCTTATTAGATTTCCTATTATTTTATACTTCTTTTTTACTCCTTAATTAGTGAATGACCAATCGAATTATTAATTTTTGACAAGAAGGAAAAAAGAGTCTAACTCCCAACCGGCACCGGTAATAATGCAATGAAGAAGTTTTACTTTCTTCACCGTCATAGTACAAGAAAATATACATTAAACACCATATTTGAACTCCTAAGCATGGACATCAACAATATTGATGTAACAATAAACCCCTTAGTTTTGCTTAAATTTTCAACTTTTCTTTCTCGTATTTCTTCTTTTAGCTTCTCTCATTCCTTTCTTTTCAACTAGGCCATTATCTTATTCCTCATCGTTTAATTATAATAGCCAGTTAGGGAGTATTTTGGTGAATTCTAACATGTTTGTCTTGTTTAAGGTATATGGGATTATTTTTCTCCATTATGTGTGTGATAACTGATATTTGGAAAAAAAAAAAAAAAAAAAAAAAAACAAGGAATTTCACCAATGTATGCAACCATTTTTACGGCCTTGCTAGTGTAATTTTACAAGTTTTTATTGAAAAACCTTTGACAATTTCGTTTTATTTGCGCATAATTAATTAGAGGTATTTGTTCGGTATGGTTGTTATAAATTTATTGTTAGATTTTAGAGCTATGTATATCATCCTCATTATCAATCTTTGATAATTTCGTTTATTTATCGTTGAACTGATGTTATTCTTTGTTACGTGTGTATGTGTTAAGGTTTTTGGACGGTAGGAAATTGAATTGAGATTATATGTTTATAAAATAGGTGGAGAAATAAGATAGAGAAGAAGCCACATGGGTGTTAACAAAAAAAATTAAAAAAATTATAAAAATCAGAAATAAAGAAAATAATTTTTATGATTTTTTTTTATACGGTATGATGCCGGAGGATTCCCCACCCTATCACATGAATGGGGGATGAGGATCGAACCCCCAACCACTTGGGGGGGAGGGGAGATGGATGGACTAACCATCCCTCCATTTTCTATGTCCTCAAATAATAATATAAAATAATAAAATTAGTAAGATTTAACTTTTTCGGTAGTAATTTTTAACCTAGCCTTTTTTATATCATTGTATGTGATAAAGTATATAAAACGATCATGAACTTTAACTATCAGTGTAAGCTTTTGGTTGATTTGATCCTTAATTTAATATGGTATCAAAGCTAACGTGACAAGAGGTCACAGGTTCAAATTTCATCCACATCTTCTATTTAGTGAAAATATTTCACGCATAGTATGTAGAAGAGGAGGAGGGCATGCTGCATCCATATTTCAAGTTCAAAGGGTGCTCATGTGAAGGGACGTGATAGATAGAGTATATAGAATAATCTTAGATTTCAACCATCAACTTAACTTTTTGATTGCGATGGCCTAACAGTATGCACCCATGGCTATAGCCTATAGGTGGTGGTGTATGTAGGGTATCTAACACATGGATTGTTGTTCTATGAAAATAAAATTGACCAAAATTCACAATTAGTCTCAGGTAATAACTCCCTAATAAATAGCGGTAGCAATCAAAATTTTACATAAGATAACAAAATTATAGTGGGATTAGAATAATGTTCTGACAGTATAGTATAAACTTCCTTACTGTCCATAATAGCACGCGTGATAAGTGAGATCAATAGCAGCATATTGGAATTTGACTAAGGATAACTTCATTACACTCACATTGTAGGGCATATCAAAGATTCGACCAAAATTACGTTTCTATACCATAATAAGTGGCCTAGCTTGGTTAATTAGAAGGGAAAAAAATCAGATTTGAATCCTAATAAATTCCAATAATTTGTAGCACAAAATCCTATACACCTCATTTGCGTTAATTGCGTATATTACAATTTTTTTTTTATTTTTTTTACTAAATTATTGGAATTTATAAGCTTAGTTAGTACATATGTCATATGTGTGTTTTAAAGAGTTCAAGGATATGAACGAGTTTAAAAAAACAAGTTTCCTAGCCAAGTTACTTTGGTGTGGAATTAGATCAAACTAAATTACCTCCTATGCTTTCGAAAAAATTGAATTAACTCCCATATTGGTGTATGTTTTTTTTTCCTTAGACAAATAAATTCTGTATTTTGGTTCTGATGATGCCCATGAGTGTAGCAAACAACATTTTGACTTGCAATTACTTAAAAGACAATTTCTTCTTATCTCAGTTAAGCAAACAAGCTAGCGTCGTTATAACATGTGCATAACTTATTTTAAAACCATAATTAAAAAGGTGGTCAGTTGGTCATAACCTACCCTAGCCCCCCCTGGTTTCAACTCGGTCTGCACGTATATGTATAGACTTGATGTAGAAGTGGATAAAGGACAATGTGGAGGAAGAGGGAGGAGGCTAGATAATTAAGAGGGTGTTTAGTAGGAGGGATAAGGGAAAATGGATAGAAATAAGAGAGAGGGGTAAGAGAAATAATGAAGTGTTTGTTTTGGTGGATAGAGAGGGATAGGGAAACATCCCCCCCCCCCCCCCCCCCCCCACCTCTTATCCCTCTAAATCTAATACCTAGGGTTGTGGTATAAGAGGAGGGATAAGAATTTTGATCTTAAAAAACCATTATACGCATATTGAAAAAGGAAGATAAAAGAGAAGGGAATGACCAATAAGGGTATTAAAGTATATTTGCCCTTCATCCCAATTTTATTTCCAATTCTTAATTTCTTACCGAACAAGGGACACACTTAACTTTATTCTTATCCCTTCCATCAATTCCTTATCACATCTTTATTCCACCCTCTTGTCATTCTTATTCCTATCCTCTTGTCAAACGCCTCATTAAGATAGAACCATGAATGTGTAAATGCGTGATATAGGCAATATAGCATTCCTAAACGAGGACGTTTTATAACAAGTGTCAAATAACATTGTGAAATAAAATACGTACTGATTCTACTGAAGTAATTTGATTTGCGGTTTGTTTTGCTGAAAAGAGCATTTGGGCGTTGCGGCCCAAAAACAATGACAAGGGCGATGAAGCCAAGGAAAGACAAATTGGAAATAATAATAATACGGAGTAATTGACGTGAAATTTCAACAAAATCATGAAAGTCAAGTAATCGTAGTCAACCATCACAATAACATCAGTACAGCTGTAAAAAAAAAAACATAATGCCCTTTTTTCGCAATAATAGAGGAACTTAACCCATCGTCCCATCTCCTACGACTACTGCCTATTGGCTAACCCAACCTAGCCTCCTAGCTACCCTACTTAAATTAGGCACATGACAATATAACGCAATAAAATTAAACACTTTTATTTTCCATTTCTAATTTTTAAGGCTTTTTTGATAAAAAGTTCAAGTAATTTTTTTTTTCCACTTAAATACTACTTCTGTTAAATATTAATTATAATTTTAAAATATTTTATCTCACAAATAATACCCTAAAATTACAACTAATATTTAGGTAGCACCTTATATTTAGCTCAAGTAAAGACTAATGAGTCCAAACAAAATTATTATAAGAAAGCCTTCAAGAAAAAATTAATTTATGAAAAATAACTTTAGTTAAAGGTTAACAAATGCTATTCAAACTAATTCAAATAAGTTATACAGCGGAAAAATTACTATATGTAATTGGCAAAAAAGACCTTTTATTAAATACATTGTCTATTGCTTTTGTTAAAGAAATTATAGACCGGTTAAAAAATATTAGTAATGGTTGAACTTGAGGTCATTACGTACTATTACGTGGTGCTACATGCGCTAGTATTGAGCGTACTTTTTACTAATAGTCATATTTTGAAATACAATACGGAGTATCAGTATCTACTAATTAGGCATTGCTCAATTATGAAAGTTCATAGAAGTTTGAGTACCAATGTTTCATACTAGTCAAAACTCGATTGCCACTACTACATTTTTGATCTATTGCAACCCCTAAATCCGTTGCATTAGGCGTAAAAATCCGTGGCATTAGGCCTAATGCAACGGCCATGTACCGTGGCATCTGCTGGCGTTGCAGTAGGTCTAATGCAACGGCTTATGACACCTAATGCCACGACACCACTGATCCGTGGCAATAGACCAATACCTGTTGCAACGGCATAACTTATCCGTGGCAATAGAGTACTGACTAATAATTATGATGAAATTGAACCTATTGCAACGGCATAACTTATCCGTGGCAATAGAGTACTGACTAATAATTATGATGAAATTGAACCTATTGCAACGGATGAAGCTAATTGATACAATAATGGTAGGAGTACGTATCTACTGCAACGGATTGATCATTGGGATTTTTTTTTTTTTTGTTGGGTGAATGGTAATATAATATTAATTAGTCGGTACAAATCTAAATATACTAACATAAACAAATTAAAGTATCATTTATATATAATAATTATAATGCAAAATACGTACATTACAAAATATTACTTGCCTATTTTTGGTATGACATACGTACCGTACTAATAATAAATAAAAGTTAGATAATTCATTTGATCGTCCAAAATACAAATTGTCAACATATATATAAGCCGAAATATCCAAATCTTCACAAAGCTGGAACTTGAATAAGAGTCGCCAACATATATGCACCATTTGTTAGATGGCTAGTCACTATACTTCCGCTCCATTTGACTCCCCATTCACCTACACGTAAAATTGAAAAAAATAAAAGAAATATAATTAAACTAAATTTGAACCACGTAAAATATCGAATAAGTATCTACTTTCTACTATTAATACAATAGGAAAGATGGTAGCAAAAATCATGTAAATAGTCTATATCAGGCCTCATAACCCAAGCAAGACATAATCTATATCAGGCTATGCAAGTAAATAGTAGCTTGCAAAGTAAAAACAACTCCGGAAACAAAGGCGATCATAAAAACAGTAAACTGAAAGAGTGACTTTTTTTGTCATGAAACTATGTCAATATTGCACAAAACCAGCTCAAAACCATATACATAATACCTCAGCCTCTTTAGAATGCCAGTATTGCAAAAGCTCTCTAAATTGAGGTTCTGAAATTGTGTCTGGCTTATGAAACCATCGTAAAGCATCAGTGGGATATGCAGAGAAGTAGTTCCTCTTAGTAAAGCATTTATGAGCTTTCCAGCGTCACCCATTCTCTTCCAGCTTCAGGAACCATATATTTTTCCTAAACAAATCATGAATATAAAACATTAGTATGTAACATGTATGTAGCATATGGAGGTCCAATTATTAACGTGGAATTAATTATGTAGAAAATGAAATCCAACAAAATGAATTATAATACTACGTACTTGGACATACTCCCACATTTTGTCAAGTGTGGGTAGACTTGGAAAGTTAATATAATTTAGTGGTGCAAGTTCAGAATCCCTTGCCACAGTACCTAAGAATTGCTTGAACTCCTGAACAATTTCCCGTGTAGGTCCAACTGGTTGGCCAAGTGAGTTTAAAATAATAACTTCACGCTCGTCTCTTGTTCGTGCATGAACCTTGGGTAGCATTGTTGGACCTCGATGCCTTTTTCTGTTAGGAGCTTTTTCAGGTTCTTTTTCTGGTTCTGTGCACATTTTTTACTTAAAAGGTTTTTACTAAAGCTGAAAAGACCAACATGAACACGCACTGAGCATTGAATGTTCAGTTAAATCAAGAAAAAGAATTCAAGATACTTCACAAAAATTACAATAAAAATCACAATCATAAGAAGATAGATTTCTATTCAGGCAAGAGAAGACAAACTTAGAAAGCCAACAATCTACTTATCCAGGAAAGCCAATAAGACAAATTTGTAGTCATCTCTATAATCACATAGAAACATGACAATAAGATCACACTCATAAACAGATAGTCATCCATCTAATTATCCAGGAAATTAATAGAAATATGACGAAGAATTGAACCGCAAGTCTCATTCCGAGCAATAACATTCCACAAGAAAAGGGCTCTGAATCAGATAATATCTGCATTTTCTTTTACAGCTACAGATTAAGTTTTAGACAAACACAGAAAAGCAATGCAAGGAAGAGGCATCCTTGGCTGTCCCTGTCCCTGTCCCTGTCCCAATCAATATCAATATATATATATATATATATATATATATATATATATATGAGTCCCAAAACCTTTATCTGAAGCTGACACATTCAATTTATTATCAAATTTCTAACGTTAGAACTTTCTTCTGTATCTCATGAATACTAGTATGAATATTATACAACTACTAAACTTTACTTACATACACACATATTACATACGACCAATTAATATTTGAATCAAAAAATGAAGAGAGAGATGATGGGTTGATGAGATAAGGTGGTGAACGAGAAAATAAAAATAAAAAAATGAAATCCCAGTTTTGATGACTGAGCTCAAAAGGATTAAAACAGAAAAAGAGGTCTGTAAAACCCCCTAGTAGATGGGGAGGAAGTAAGAGAAAAACAATACCTTGCATTCCTTCCCTTCCATAGTTAGATAGAACTTCATCTTGTATTTGTTGAACACCTTCATATTCATCACCAACACCATCATCATTCTCATTCAGTGCATCCGCTTCATCAAGCCACCTACTTAGTGCATCCGCATCATCATTGTCATTCTCATTAAATGCAGCGCCACAAATCCTTGTGTTTCTTGTAAGAGAATCATTCAATGACTGATTACTAGCTACAAACGCTTCATTATTTTCTTTTTGCTTTTTCCGAAACTCGAAGTACGCTGACATGGAACCAGGAGAACAGAACGCTCGTTTTGATCCCTTCTTTTCTGAGATAACTTGCTCCTTCTTTTGGATGCATTGATCTTGAACTCTAGCAACCTTAAGTGATTGAATGTTCTGAACTTCATCAACTGCATGCTTCTTACGGCTATTCACTTCCACAACATCAGCCATAGTTTTGGGGCGAAGTGATGATTTATTTACTTGCTTTGAAACCTATAAAACAAAAGGAAAATAAAGCATTACTTATTACATGTAAACCGTGATAAACTATAAAAACAGCCTGTATAAATGAAAAAATAGAAGTACACACCTGTTTACTGGATTTTCTTTTTCCAGAAGTGAGATTGTCAGTTTCAACCTCATTTTCACCATCATATTCCGACATAGAGGCATCATCCTCATTTTCTGGTGTACTATTCAGCATTGCACTTGGACAAAATAAGGCTTTTGTTTTGTCTTCAAGTATCTTATTAGCAAGAGATGCCGATCCTAGGGCTTCCATTCTTTCTGCATTGACTTTCAGTTTTTGAAGCCGTTGCAGCTCATATTCCGTAAGCTGATATTTGGAAGCAGCAACTTTGGGTCTACTCCGTTTCATCTGGGAAAAAAAATGGAAGTATGTTAATTTTGAATGTAAATACAATAAACTGAATAGAATTACAATGTAAAATAAGCTCATTTATAACATATAGTGAAGTATTAAAAAAATGTATGTTAATACCATCTGAAAACTCTCTAGGAGGGATTTGAATAGCATAATGCCACCCTTCTCTATTCAAATCTTCTACATAAAACACTTGATGTGCTTGATTTTCTAAGATCAAAGGTTCTTCTTTAGAAACGGTCTTATTCATATTAACCGTAATGAGCTCATCATCATCCTTTTCTGAGTGAAACCATTGACATCTAAATAAGACAACACTGAAATGACCATGATAGGATATCTCAATGATTTCTGTTACTGATCCAAAATAATTAACATTTCCCACAATAGGATTTTGATCTTTGGAGCTTGCAAAGCTATGTGTAGTGGCTATTAGAGTGACGCCACTGTTTTGAGTTACGCAATTTGCATCTCGCTTCATGGTATGAAACCTATAGCCGTTAACTGAGTACCCTGTGTGCTTTTTGGCAACATGAGAGGGACCTTTTGATAACCACAACATATGGTCCTGGATATTATCATGGCCTTCTTTAAGAATCAAATCAACTTTCTCCCTAAACCAATCCACAAGGTCCTTTACAAGATTATTACCTTCCTTATATATTCTTAACTGAAAAGAAGATAGCAAAATCTTACTATGTTAGTTCTATTACCATTTCCTTTTTACAGGGGAATATCATTCAGCAGGAAAATATGGAGCTATGCGAAAAGGTAAACCTTATGCGTCAAGAAAACACCGACATGTGTAAGAAGGTACGAGACCCTATGACAATCAAAAGAAAACATGATCTACACAAGTTACTTGTTCTGTTTCCATTATAATTTGTACAGACTTATATAAGACAGATTGTTGGCTTGTCTAAGCTAATCAGCTTATTACCTTTCTCAGCTCTATAGTATGGGAAACGCGACTGAAGTCAGCAGCAATTCCTTGATGCTTGGGTATTCAGACCTTTCTCATGCGAATTACGTATTCAGACCCAGCCTTCTAAGCCTCTTTTAAAGCCCTCAGTGCAGCTATTATTCACACACACATATACAATGATACACATCTAAAGATTGAATAACAGTAATTTCCAATAATTTCTGTTAAATCTAAAGGCTTTAGGTGACTTCTTTAACTAAATACTAAATAGGAGAGCACATTGGAGTAAAAATGCCTAACCCATCAATGTCAGGTTAGTAAAGACTACTAGCCAAATAAGGGTTGACTTGTTTGACATTGCAAAACGAAGGATAGACAAAAACAAGAACAAGTAACTAATGAATGGAGATTTAACCATAAAGGGAGGACACAGATTACACACCAAATAGACTAGAGTATGGGCAATGAAAAACAAGGAAAACATAAAAATACTTGAAGGCCATTTGGATATACTTGAGTAAAAACTATAAATAAAGTTGGCTATATAAATAGTTTCTGACAATTTAGAGATCCAAGTTACTGACTATTACATGAAAGACAAATAAAAAACAATGGGACAAAAGAAGCACAATCAATATAGAAAACATAACTTATAATATTCATTAGCCTCTCATAAGCAACACATCAAAAAAGAATTGCCTGGCAACGCAAAAAACAGAGAGGAAAGTAGACATAAAGCATAATTACATAGCATAATTACATAAGAATTTCAGATATATTGTAAGTAGGAAACAAATACTTGAAATGTATTCTAAAAAGTTTAAAATAGGTTATACTATTTCCCTTTCTTGTTACAAATTTTATTGAAAGTTAGAAGAATGCAAATGGAATTTGGAGACAAATTTGCAACATAAACACACTACGGTGATATCATTAATAATTAGTCTCTGCCTAGCTAGCTCAGTTTGCACTTTGCAGAAATAAGTTCTGTAGCTACTACAAACTATTGACGAAAATAAGATTCAAAAACAGCTAACAAAATATGAATTCAAGAAACTAATGTCATCTTCATACAAGATACAACCCATAATTTGCTAAACTTCCCAACAAAAAAGTCACAAACAGCCATAAATGGCCACGACAAGCTTTCCATTGTATCTGCCTACACTATATACACCATGGATTTTCTGCGCGGATATACCCCAATGACCTTACAACAAAAGCTATGGCGTGGAGACGCTAGAAAACAGTAATACAATTACGAGGGCCTTGATATAATTTCAGATATATTGTAAGTAGGAAACAAATACTTGAAATGTATTCTAAAAAGTTTAAAACAGGTTATACTATTTCCCTTTCTTGTTACAAATTTTATTGAAAGTTAGAAGAATGCAAAAGGAATTTGGTATGCATTGAATACCAATCTAAGAGTTTTAAAACCAATGAAAACTTTGTATACAACTATATATTCTATCAAGGGATGTTTTGATCTAGATTGATGAACAGACTGAGTTGTATACACATTCAATTATGAAAAAAGAAATTTCGGCCACCCCAAAAATAAATAGTCAGAAACTTAGATCACTAAAGTCTTACCCCATGAACCAAATCAGCCACCCCAAATCAATATATCTTCTTAATATCCATTTATATGAAATTCCCCCAAAAAACCCCATTAGACTACTCAAATACAATATTCAGTACTTCTAGGTTTCAAAAATAATAAAATAAAAAAAAAAGTTGCTAAACAAAACCCATTAGCCTTTTAATTCCAAGAGTTACCAGAGCAGAAACTTCATCTTCCATGGCATCACATACAAATTCCCAAACACAAAAGCATAAACTTCAAATATAATTAACCCAAAACGAAAATTCGTTGAATACCTTGAAGCAAATTTCGAGCAATCAGCTCAAGGAAGGGACATGCAAGATGAAATTGAGACCGCCTGTGCCGCTATCAGCCACCACCGCCTGACTGCCGCTTTCAGCCACCACCGCCGGAGTGCCGCCTTCGTGATTTCTTTGCTTATTTTCCTCTTAGAATTTTGGAGTATTTTTCTTCGTGATTTTCGTCTCAAAATTTCGAAGTATTTTTGGAGAATTGAAGCTATGAGATCTGAGAAGATGGGGAAAATGGAGAAAATGGGAAAATGGTACTGTGAAAATGGTGAGAAATTGACAATGGGGAAAATGGAGAAAAGGGGGAATTGAAAGGTACTGTACGTGAGAATTGAGAATAGAGGGAAGCAAATTCTTCCACGTGTTGTTCAAAATATTTGGTGAAAAAAATAGAGGGAAGAAATGCGCGCTTCATTCGTTCTATATTTTTTCATGATACAACACATACCGTTGCAATAGCTCTCATTTTTGTTAAAATAGCTAGGCTATTGCAACGGTTCTTTACAGCCGTGGCAATAGCTATACCTCTAAGAACATTAGTGTTAAATCCGTGGCAATAGTCTACTCTATTGCAACGGAAATTAGAATACCGTTGTATTAGCCTTTATTAGGCCGTTGCATTTGGTCAAAAATGTAGTAGTGTGCTAATGTGAACATTCATCAGGCTACTTGAATTTGCACAGTGTGTTTCAATCATGGTCAAAGTTTATCTCTTTAAATGAAATATTAGAAATGTGATTAACAAAATGAAACAATGAGAGTATATATTATTTTTCTAGCTAGTTGAGAAGTCAAGCAAATTGCTTGTATTTAAATTGAGTTGTAACTCTTGTAAGAACCATTCAAAATATTCGTACAGTATGAAATTAGTACTGGAAATTAATGAATAATTCTATCAGACCTTTGTGACACCCAGGGATTAGGTTCATGAACTTATGTACTTTTGAAGACAGATTTGAAGTACAACTTACAAGTACCCCATGTTTGATTGTCCCATGATTACCTATCTGATTAACTGTACTTACTTAGTTGTAACTAACAATTAATTAAATTTTTATTTAACTCTTAATTTGTCATTAGATCAGATGACACCAATCTATTATAGTCCCTTAATTAATATATCTCATGTTTTTAATATCTAAGATATTCATCATTTTTATTCTGATTCTTTATGATAGATTGCTCCTTTCTTGTATTTGAAAATCGTCAAAATATATCAGTTATTTTCTAATACATGCTCATTTTTATATAGGCATAATGCACATGTACAATATTCATGGGCAAAAAAAAAAAAAAAAAAAAGGAACTAAAAATAAGTATATTGAGTCTACTCTATACATATTATGAATTTTCCAAGTTTTTATATTATGTTATTTATTTCAAATTTATACATAATTTAGCTGTAACTCTTTTAATTTTCTAATATTAGAATATTTTTAAAGATGTTTTCCAGCCTAAATTTCATTTTTTTAATTTATGATGACTATTACATATTCAAGTTCTTTTTTTTCATACGAAAAAATACTCTTTTTGTTTGATAGTAAAATTAATTGTTATAAAATATAAATCATATATCTACATAATAAAACTACTATCCAATGGTTGTCAAATTTCAAATACGTTCAAGTGAATTAATCCTTATGGATACAACAAATCGTTAGACCGTCTCTTCGAAAAGGTTGTATATACCAGCGATATGTGTGAGAAATGTACCACATTACAAGATTTATTCAACAATTAGCTTTGATGAAGGAAACTCTTATATACAATTTTATATATTTGTTAATTTAGATTTCATTTATAGATGTTGTATGACTTTTTATTAATGAATTGATTTAGTTTACAAAAATTGCAATTGTGTATAGATGTTAGAATATAGTATGCCTCTTTTAGGTTATGCTGGAACATACAACATTTTTAGATTGAAGGCTAGTTCTATTAACGATTTGCTAGAGCTATATATGAAAATGATTTCGACCTAATTCATTTGATAGTATTCTAAAATTTTACATTTGATGTGATCCTTTATGTACCTGTATAGGGAATGCATAGAATAATTAATGAACACAAACTCCATTGTATGAAGATGAACAAATTAACAAAAGTGTATGTATCACTTCATAACTTGTAGAATTATTGAAATTGAAAGATAAAACTGAATTAGTCAAGAATAAAGGGTAGGAATTGAAGTGCCCAAATTTTCAAATTAAAAATAAAATGGCTTACTTTCAACCTAGAAAACCTAAATATTTGTATAACCTACAAAGAAATGAGAGGAGGTAATTATAAAAGTACACCGCGAAATTATTCAAATAACTATAATTTTGCTTATGTGAATCACGAATTCACGATATGTAACCTAAAAGACGTATGTAAAAAGGGTTGAAAATCCAATTGGTATAATTTTACATACATTAGGAATCGAAATTATAGTACTATAATGTCAAATACTCCGTATATCATATATATATATGGGCAACGCCCCACGGGCTTAAAATGAATAATTGGATCACATAATGCCGACCTGAAATGGATGGACTTTGAGTGGGTTGTATTGAGTAATTAGGATCATAGTTAGCTGGATGAACCTCAGCCCACCCCACCCCACAATGTGGGCTCTATAGTAAAAGAAAGGCCATTTAAGCCCATGCACTTGACTTTCATTATACTACAGCACTATGTTTTTACACAAGATTTATCCCAAGCAAACGATTTAATGGGACACATTTAATTTTTGTAACGAAAGAGAGTGTGGGGGATCAAAGTTATGTATTAGTTGAAACAATGGCTATAATATTGGTAAGCTCATTTCTAAAATGAAGGTGTAATAAATATTAAATACGACAAATGATAAAAAAAAGTATACTCGTAACAAGTAAATTGAGACGAAAGGAGTACACTTTGTCCATTTATTACTCACAACACTACCTTATGAGTTAATAACACACACTTTAAGGATCACCGAGCCAGATACTTTTACCTCTGCTTTTAATTGTTGCAAATAATTTCTAATAAGAGAAGGCTATGCTTAGTTCAATTTTATTTAAGTTGATATCAACTTATTTCATACTTCCTCCGTATATTAATAAGTGCTCCATTTCTTTAG